CACGTGGAACTCCAGAAGCGAGCAATGAGCTGGGCACTGACGTTATCTCCAGCAGAGCGGGGCTGGAGCAGCTTTCCTTGATGTTTCTGTGGAGGCTCAGGGCTGGCTGGGCAGGTTTCATGTGCCAAACGATCCCTTTTCTCCCTGCAATGACACCGCATCCCTCGCCGCGCCTCGCGCGAACGCGACCTACTTCGGCTCTGATCAAAGGCAAGATCTTCCTGTGCCGGCTTTGGGAAGAGGCTGGGGATTGTCCCCCTTGGCAGCAAAGCAAAACCCCCAAATGGGGTTCAACGCACAGGCAGGGAGGGGGGCTCCAGCATCCTCTGTGCCTCCCTTCCCTCTAACCTGCCTCCCGCCCTCCCTCTCTCCCCGCAGAGATCAACGGGACGCAGATCTGCCCCACCTCGCTCGTGTCCATCCAGGACTTCTCCCCCTCCGACCTGGATGGTGTGCCCCGGCTCCGGTACCTGCGGCTGGACGGGAACCTCCTGAAGCCCCCCATCCCCTTGGACCTGATGATGTGTTTCCGCCTCCTGCAGTCCGTGGTGTTCTAGCCCTGCCCCTCCTCCCCCAGGACTCGGCTTTGCACAGAGACTTCACCCCCGCCGGTGTTTGACACGTGGGACCCCCTTTGCCTCCCTCTCCCCCTGCTCTCCCCCTGCCTCCCTTCCTTTCCTTCCCCCCTTTCCTCCCCTGCAGTGGCCGTGGACACACGTGGCACGTGCACCCTTGGGGACCACTGTCTGCAGGACGGCACCGTGTCCCCGCAGCCACCCCGGGTCACAGCATCAGCCCAGGGTGGCTGCCACGCTCACCCCAGCTCCCTGCCTGGGGGTCCTGCCTTCTCTGCCCTCCCCCAGGCCGACCCCGGAGCTGGCTCCGTCTCTCCCTTTCCACCTGGCAGAGTTTCACGAGGTTGGATTGGGCCCAAGCCAGGAGCATCTGCAGGTGGAGCTGCTGGACTCGGGTCACATCCCTGCTCTGGGTGGCTGCACCCCGAGAGCCCGTGGTGTCCCTGGGGAACAGTCCCCTGTGGCAGAGGTGGAGCAGGGATGGCCTGGGCTGGTGGTCGGAGGTGCAGGATCCCAGTCAGGTGGGACCCGTGGAGGTGGAGGGGGGCTGGATCTGTGGAACATCCCAGGGTGCCTGGCAAGGGACACGCTCCTCTCACCTGGACCCTTCTGGGGGCTTTTGGCTCCACACTGCTCTGGAGAACGAGGATCTAAATCCCTGGGGGAGGTGTGGATTTGCCAGGATGGAGCGGGGAGGGTTTGGGGCCCCTGCACTGGAGCTGGGCTCTGCTGTGCCCTGCGGGGTCACACCCTCCCCTCAGCCACCTCCACACCCCCTCCTCTGCACAACCAGCCCCTTCCCAGCTTCCATCCCTCCATGGACTGATGCTGCTCCCCCAGCAGTGCTGAGCCCCATCCCAGCACCCTACATCCTTCCCCCGATCCAGGGGGATTCAGGGCTCAGTGCCCTCCCCTCTGCAGGCAGCACCCAACACCCACAGGACCCCGATGCCAACACCCTGCCCCGGGCAGGGACCCCCCAGAGCAGTGCCAGCTGCTCTCCAGCAGTGCCAGCAGGACACTTGTCCTTGTTTTTAGGTCCCTGGGGCCAGATGCTGACACGGGTGTAAACCCAGGCTGGGCTGATCCGTGGGGGTCTTGGCTCTGCTCTCACAGCTCCCCTGCCCTGAATTCCACCTCCTGGAAGTTTCACTCTCAGTTGCTCTCTGGAACCAAGCACACAGGAGCGGTTTTGCCATTTTTATTAGGGAAAAAAAGGAAAGAAAAAGAAAAAGGAAGGATTACTCTTTGGAAAAGCTATTTCTGTCCCCGTTCTCCCTGTCCTCACATGTATCGCTTCCCTCTTTGATAGCTGTACCTGCATATATAGGGTGTCCGGGTTTAGGGGGATTATTCTCTTCTTTTCTTCCTGATTCTCAGGATTTGGATTTAAGGCCGAGCATTAGAGGGAAAAAAAAATCCAACTGCAATAAGCATTAAAGCAATAAACCAAAGAAACCTCCTTTGTGTTCAGCCACCAAAACCGACCCTTCCCTGAGACGGGCACGGACGGGCACCGTGTCCTGCTCCCTGGGAATGGGACAGGGATGCTCCCCACAGCCTGGGGACTCAACAGCCACCCTGAGATGCTCCCCCTTTCCACTAATTAAAACCCTGTGCTAATTGAGGCTTGTTTTCTCAGGATAAAAGCCTCTTCTCCAAATCTTCCTGCAGTTGGCTTTGTTGGGTTCGACAGGTTTCAGCCTCAAACCCGGAGCCCCTATGTATATATTTATATATAATGTGTATATAGACTGGTAGACTGTACAGATATATCTAGAGACATATGTACCTCTCGACTGATTTCAACTTAATGGTATTTTCACTCCTACTCTCCCCAGCAGTGAAAATAAAATGATTCACAAGGGACCCAGAGCCGCAGTTGGATCTGCCTGATCCATCCTCATCCTCTCTCATCCTCCATCCTCAGGTGTGGGAGCTGCTGCTTCATTCAGGACCAGATTTCCTCTGTTGGGGCCAATTCCCAACAGTTGGAGCCTGTGAGACCCTGGGGGGTCGGTGGGCTCTGGGGTTTGGGGTGTGCACTCCTTGAACCAACGATGGTTTAGGTTAGAATTTGGGAAGAAATTCCTCCCTGCGAGGGTGGGGAGGCCCTGGCACAGGGTGCCCAGAGAAGCTGTGGCTGCCCCATCCCTGGAAGTGTCCAAAGCCAGGCTGGATGGGGCTTGGAGCAACCTGGGCTAGTGGAAGGTGTCCCTGCCCATGGCAGGGGGTGGAATGAGATGATCCTTAAGATCCCTCCCAACCCAAACCAGTCTGTGGTTCAATTTGGACTCACAGGTGTCAAAGCAGCCTCCACATCTGCAGCGTGGTTCATGGACCATGTGCCTGCATTAATGAGCATCTCTGCTAATTACAAGAGCCTGGTCTTGGCTGCAGCTCCCAGGGCTGTGGCTGCTGGTGGGTGTCACTGTCCCTGCAAAGCACCGGGAGAAGGTGACGGCTGCCTGTCAGGGTGGGCGTGTGAACTCCTCCTGAGCTGCCCCGTGTCACCAGGGAAGCCCTACAAACATCCCCAGGGGGAGTTTTCCAGCCTCGGGGCGCGCACCAGGGAGGAGGCATCTCTCCCACCCCCAGCCACGAGCCGGGATCCATCGCCGGGCTCGGGCGCGTGTTTCCACACGAGCACGGTGGGTGTAGGCAGCGACTTCTCCTTCTGCCCATCGCCTGAGCTGCAGCAAACCTCCTCTCGCGGCTGCTCTCCCCACGTGGATCCCGAGCCGGGAGGGAGGATGGGCCGTGGGCGAGGGTGTGAGCGCGGGGGCTGTGCCGGGGGGCTGCTCACGGGAGCGCGCAGGGTGAGGGTGAGTGTGAGTGTGTGTGTGTGTGTGTGCAGAGCAGGCACAGGCAGCCACCTCCCCTTAAAATCGCTGTATTTTGTAACCAGGACGTGAATCACCCACCCCCAGGTGTGTTTTCGCTCCCTGGGTAAGTCAGCCCTGTCTCCTGTGGGAGCCGAGCTCCCAAAAACAGGGGGGCCCGTTTCTTTTCCCTGCAAACAGTCACTGCCACCGTGGGGGTGGACTGGGAAGGCTCCCCCCCCCCCCCCCCGTGTGTGTTGTGGGGTCACTGGGAAAGCTGGAACACCCTCATTAGTGGGGGTTGCGAGGGGCACCCCAGGGTCTTCTCAGTGCGGTGGGTGCTGGGAGGGGCTGGATTTGGTGAGAGGCACTTTGGAGTGGGGGGAGTTTTGCTCAACTCAAGCCCCCTCGCAGCTGGTGACCCCCCCAGCCCGTTTGTGGGCCCCCCGCGATGGGAGGGTTTGCACGGCCCCGTCGGGGGATGCCGCGCACACGGAGACCCTTCGGGTCGTGCCGTCCTTGCAGGGCTTTGCCGCGGCTGCTCGGGGGCCTCTGGGGACAAGGAAAGAACGGGGACAAGGGCAGGACTGCAGCTGCTTCTCCAGGGCAGCAAAGCAGCTGCCCCGGGGACCCCCCTGTGCCCCGAGGGACCCCGAGGGCCAGCGCAGGCTTTGGCTCTGCCGCAGTTCTCCCCCCCTCAGCTGCCACATCGCCTCCATCACGGTGGCCACCGAGCCATCTAATGAGGGGCTTAGCGCGGATTAGAGGCCGCTCCGTGCTGAGCGGGGCCGGGGGTATCGCCACGGGCTGGGGGGCTGCGGGGGCGCGGACGAAGCTCGTTCCCGCCGGCGGGGAGGGGAGGGGGGGCTGCGGGGGTGTCCCCGCCCGCCCAGCGGGCACCGGCAGATGGGTGAGCGGCGGTGGGTGGGTGGGTGCGTGGGCCGGGAGCTGCCTGCGGGAGACGGGAACATTTTCGCGGCGGTGGGTGGGTGGGTGGTGGCCGCGCGTGCACGAGGCTGCCCCGCGCTGCGAGGAGGTGCCGCGCACGCCCTGCCCGCCCCCGGGGTGTCCCTGGCAAAGACAGCCCCCCCCCCCCCCCGAGCTGAGCCCTAGGTGGGTGTAGGAGTCCCCCCGCCCCAGGGCACGTGGGTGCACACGGGGGGATGGGGGATGTCTCCCATCCTACCCCGGGGAGGGGAGCAGCACTGACACCCCCCCCCCCCCCCGCATCCCCTTCCCCAAACTGCCCCCAAACCACCAGAGCGCAAAGGGTGGGGGGTGCTGAGCCCCTCGGGAGGTGAGTCGGGGTGGATGAGCTGAGTGTCCCCAGCTGTCTGGCTGCTGGGATGGGGCTGTGCCACACCTTCCCCAGGGCTGGGATGCTCACTGGGCCCCCCCCAGCTGAAACCCGGATCAGCAAGGGGGGTCGTGCCCGGTGCTTGGCCCTTCCTGCATCCCTGGGGATGGACACGGCTGGAAATCGCTCTCTGCTGGCAGGGCCTGGGCCTGTCGAGGCAGGGATGGCGCCGGCTCTGTCCCCTCTGCCCAGGGCTGTGTGTCCCATTGCTCACGGGGACGCCGGGGCAGGGAGCACATTCCCCATCCCTCCCACCCCATCCCGTTCCCCCACAGCCCCAGACACCCGGCTGGGCTATTGGAGGACAGCCACTATTGGGGCTGGCTCGCCCCTGGGGACAATATAAGTTCCCAGCAGGGGGGTTTCTGGCTTGATTGGCCGCATCCTGCCTCTCCCCTCGGCGGCGGCCATGCCAGACCCCTCCGTGCAGCCCCCCTCCTCCTCTCCATGCATTAAAAGCCCGGCAGCCCTTCCCCAGCCAGCGCACCAGCCCGTGGAGCCGAGCGGGGCTCTCGCACGCCGAGGAGGAGGGGACGGGGGTACGTCCATGCCGCCTTCCTTTGGCTCCCCCTGGGCTGGGGCGAGCTGGGGGGCCGGCAGGGTTGGGGGCTGGGGGGCTCAGTGCACTGGGAAGGGCTTGATCCGGGGGAAAACAGCAGGAACTGGGGAGCAGCACCCTCAGCTTGGGGTGCAAAAGCTCCGGGCTGGGTCGTTGCTTTTGCTTTTGGTTTTGGAGAGACACGTGGGAGGCTGGTGGGTGCCGGGACCCTCCTCCTGGCCTGCCGGGGGAGCTCCTGTGGACGTGCAGCCCGGTGAGAGGGAGATCCTTTGGGAATGGACTCTGGCGGGTTTGGATGTGGAGCTGCCAGGAATGTGGGGGTCTTGTGCAGGCAGCCCCTGGGCTCAGGGTCGAGTCCCAGGGACCCTGTGGCCTCTGGTCCCCCCCGGATGCTGGAGGCTCAGGAGCAGCACCCTGGGATTTAGTCCTGGGGGTGGGAGCAGCAGTTCCTGGGATCCTGGGGCCATTTTTGCTCAGCTGCTGGGTTTGTTGGGCCAGTGACCAGCTTCACCCATCACCTCGGGGCCAGAGCAGGACCCCGACCCCCTCCCAGGCTCTGTGGGGCTGGGAAAGCTGGGAAGCACGGGAAGCACGGGCAGCCCTGCACGGCCACGGGGCCTCCCCTGCACAGCCACCCAGCCGAGCGTGACATGGGCTGAACAGAAAAGGGACGTGGAGCGGCCCCGGGGCCGGGGGCTGTTCGTCCCCCACGGCTGCAGAGCAGGGCTGGCTCCAGCCACATCCCAGCTCTGCATCCCCCAGGATCACAGTCCCCAGGAGCAGTGACCCTGGCCGGGGGCAGGATGTGGAGCCTGGCCTGGCTGGGCATGGCCAGCCTGTGCCTGGGGGCAGCCTGGGCTATGCCAGTCAAGGAGAGGAGGAAGGCCGAGAAGCCAAAAGCTGACCTGGCCCTCTATGAAAACCTGGACCTGGACAACTATGACCTGACTCTGGACAGCTATGGGGAGATCCTCGACCTGAGCAACTACGAGGAGCTCTACGACTACGGGGACCTGGCTCCCAAGGTGAGGGGGTGCAGCTGTTCCCAGGGTGAATCCCAAGAAAGGGGTTTGGTCCAAGGGTTGGATGGGGCACAGCTGCAGAACCAGCCTCTTGCACAAGCCTGCAAACCCTGGCAGCTCTCCCACTGCTCTTGCTGGTGGCAGGAAAGGCTTTACCTGACCCCAGCCTCTGCCTGGTGGGAGCATCACTGCAGGAACCTGGACTCGAGGTTTCCTGCATCCCTCTGGAAGGAGGGGGGGGTGTTGGAGAGCTGGGAGAGCTCGTCAAGGAGGAGCTGTGTTTTCAGTAAAACCCATCCAGTGCCCTTGAGCAGCGCTGCCCACCCTGGAGAGGGGAAGGGCAGGATCTGCTCAGCCTCTCCCCCTCACCCCAGGCTGTGCTTGCAGATCGAGGTTGGCACCTTGGCTCCTCGCCCCAAGGACCCCGAAACTCTCCCAGACCTGGGTGCCACGGCTGAAACCCCGAAACTGCAGCCTCCAAGCACTGCTGGTCCCATCCACCCAGCGCCCATCCCCGTGCAGGGTGAGTGTGGAGCTCTGGGCTCGGTTCCTGTGGGATCCATCCACGTGTCCCAGGATTGGCAGGGCTGGGGCTCTGGAGAATAAGGAGCGAGTTCTCGTGCCACCAGCAGGCAGCAGCAGCTATTTGCTCTGCCAGGCCAGCGAGGAGACAGGGTGTTGGGGGTGAGTCTTCTCACACAGCAGGCAGGAGGGCTGCAGAGAGATTTCTGGGAAACAAGAGCTCCAGCAAAGCAGCAACATTTTAATGAGCGGAGGCATTGCGACAGTCGGACAGAGTAGCAATTAGATTAGTGACAATTAAAATCCTGTAGCGAGGGATAAATATCTTTATTCATTTTCTGTCACTCAGGACTGGGACAAATTAAGTGGGAGGCAAAGGGAAATTGTTGCCTTGCTGCTTTGAAGTCCTCCACTAATGGATGCAGAGTCTTGTGGGAGACTTGGACAGGAGCTGGGGGAGAGGAGAGGGAGCACGTGTGGGGGGGACATGGCTTTACCCCCCTGCCCCCGCTGCCCAGTGCACTGGGACCCTCAGGCAGCCGAGACAGATGTTTTGCTCGATGCAAAACTTTTTCTCTTGTTTTGTTTCATTCAGTGGCCAAACTCAGGGGGCTGGGAGAGCCCTGGGTGTGAGGCTGCTGCGTTTGGCAGCTTTACATCCTCCCTTCTCCCAGGAGAGGGATTTGGCCCTGACCAGCTCGTTTATCAGCAGCTCCTTTGGCTGGGAGTGTCTGGTCCTTCCCTGGGTGAGGTGCCCTGGGCTGGTCCTCCGGGGAAGGTTTTGGGGCCGTGACAGCTCTGGGTGATAAAAACTCGGTGCCCCCTCAGCATGGGCAGGGTGGGCGCGTCCCCCCACCTCCCTGCATGCTTCGGGGGGGCCATGCCAAGGGTGCCTGTGCCCCCCCAGGGCTGCCCAGCTGCCTGCTCTGCCTGTGCATCGGCACCTCCGTGTACTGCGACGACGCCGACCTGGAGCACATCCCGGCCCTGCCCCCGGAGACCACGTACCTGTACGCCCGCTTCAACCGCATCGGGGCCGTGCGCGCCGCGGACTTCACGGGGCTGGGTACGCCGGGGCCAGGGAGGGGCCGGGGAGGGGCCGGGGAGGGATCAGGCCCCGAGTGGGGCACGGGGAATAAAAGCTTCTGCCTCTGTCCCTCTTCATCTCCTCCCTCCGCTCCCCCCCAGAGAAGCTGAAGCGGATAGACCTGAGCAGCAATTCCATCTCCTGGGCGGACGTGGACGCCTTCCGCCGGCTGCCCAGCCTGCAGGAGCTCATCCTGCCCGAGAACAGGCTGACGGCCCTGCCCGAGCTGCCCCGCAGCATCGTCCGCCTCGACGCCCGGCTCAACAGGATCCCCAGCGCCGGCCTCCGGCCCGAGGCGTTCCGGGTGCGTGGGGGGGTGAATCCCGGCGGGTCTGAGCCCAAACCTGCCATGCCGAGGGGTGAAGGGATGGTCCAGCAGGGCTGGGAGCAGGGCTGGGAGCGGGGAGGTTTATCTCCCCCTTCTTCCCACAGGACCTGAAGCAGCTGCAGTTTCTCCACCTGTCCGATAACCAGCTGGATTTTATCCCGGCGCCCCTTCCCGAGAGCCTGCGCTCCCTGCACCTCCAGGTGAGGTGGGCCCGGACCCGGGTTTGTCTGCACCTGAGTCTGGCAGAGCCCACCTTTCCCTCCTCCTCCTCCCCCTTATCCCATTGATTTGTCCCTTTCCCCGCGCAGAACAACAACATCCGGACGATGCACGAGGACACGTTCTGTGACAGCCAGGACCACAGCCAGGTCCGCAGGGCGCTGGAGGACATTCGCCTGGACGGCAACCCCATCAACCTCAGCCTCTTCCCCGACGCCTACTTCTGCCTGCCCCGCCTGCCCACGGGCCGCTTCTCCTGAGCCCCAGTGCTGGGAAACCCGGGGGAACATCCCCAGAGCACCCCAGAGCCCTCAGCCCCTGCTGCCCGTGGAAAACGTGAGGTTAAGGCTGCTGTGTTTCACCCCAGGGTGAGCTCAGGCCCGGGGCAGAGCAGGGATAATAAAGTAATAATGAAATGAGGACTTTTAAATGCGTTCAATGTCTCGTTCTCGACAGTGAGAGCAGCGGGAAGCCCTTGCCCAGCCCCAGCCCAGCAGCTGCTTTGGGAACAGTGCTGGTTTGCAAAGATGGGACTTCCCTGTGTCCCATTTCTTCAATTCCCTCCCAGGGCCTTGGGAAGACCCCTCTGTGTCAGCTTTTGGAGGTTCCTGGATAGGGGTTGGCAGCTGTATTGCTCCAGGGAGATGTTTTGGCCACATCAGGTTTGACCTGTCCCCAGCTCCATAGGTGCAATTCCAGAGGGGTGTTGGCCCATCCAGGTGTGAGCTGTGGCCACAGCTGGACTGTCCCTGTGTGCTCCCCAAGAGGATGCAACGGGAAAACCCAGCAAAGGGCATCTGGAATCCTCCATCACCTCATCCCAGACCCCCAGAAGTCCTGTGGCCCCAGGGACACTGGGATTTGGAATTGTCCTGGCACTAAGTGGGATCTCCAGCATGAGCCTCTGCCTGGAGGGAGAGCATCCCTGGGTTTGGGACTGCAGAGAAAGCTGGAGCAGCACCAGAGCCTGGAGTCAAACAGCCCCAGGACCAGCAGGAAAATCACTCGAAGAGAGTTAAAATATCTCATATCAACCCAGCTTTCAACACCCAAAAAGAGCTGCCCAGTGGTGAGATATTTTAAATCTAATGTATTCATCCTCTATATTTTTATACACATGTAACAAACACGCACCGTGAGAGGGATGACACATCCCTGGAGATTCCAAACTCCTGAACCTAAACCACTGAGCTCAGCCCACGTCCTCCAGGCCTGGGGAGGCAAACGAGGCGGCTGGAGAAAACCTCAGAGGAGGATCCAGCTCCTCACCCAGGGGCACCTGGAGAAAACCTCAGAGGAGGATCCAGCTCCTCACCCAGGGGCACCTGGAGAAAACCTCAGAGGAGGATCCAGCTCCTCACCCAGGGGCACCTGGAGAAAACCTCAGAGGAGGATCCAGCTCCTCACCCAGGGGCACCGGGTGAGGCTGCGGCGCTGGCACAGCACAGGGAGCCTGTGTGGGCACCCCCCTCTCCCCTTGCCTTTCTCTCCCATGCAAAACCCAGCTTGGACGTGGATTATGCTGATCCAAAAGCCAAGGCCCTTGGTAAATGGGAATTTGAAGCTAATCCAGCTTTTCCTTTCAGGCTGGATCTGAAATGTCAGGATTTATTACCGCTGCTGTCGTGTCATCTTTGGAACAGCTGCACCCACGGACCCCCTGTCTGTCCATCCCCACAGCTCTGCTCCTTCCCCATCCATCCTTCCCACACCTTCACTCCATCCTTTCCCTCGGTGACGTCACCTGCTCCCGTGGGATGCGGGATTGCCGCCAGCCCAGCTCAGTTCCAGCGGGATGGAGTTGGCCAACTTTTCCCAACAGCACGTCCCGGCCCTTCGCATTCGTCCCACTAGAGGGCAAGGCAGAGTGTTTGGAAAGGCCTGACCTTAACACTGGACTGCAAACTCCCTCCTCTGCTGGTTCCCTCCCTCACGGGGTGGCCTTGGCACCTCTCAGGAATGCCCAGGTGCTGGGAATAGCTCAGGCACTGGGAATAGCCCAGGTGGTTGGAGTTGGCAGAGGAAGGATCAGAAGGAGCTGCAGAGGGGAGGAGGGTTGGTGTCATGGGGAGCAGAGTGAGGTGGGTCAGGGGTGTCTGTGGGGCTCCTGGATTTCCAGAAACCCAACTTTTCTAAGATTAATGGGGGCTCTGGGAGGACTCTGCTGGGGGACAGTTGAGATTCGGGGGGGTTGTCTTGCCTTGTGTGGCTTTTGGGTCCCCTCAGCCCCAGGGGAGGAGGGAGCAGGCTGGGCCAGCAGGTCTTCCTTTGCCCAGAGCCCTGGAGGGGGCTGAGCTGGGGCTGATTTTGGGAGAGGGCTGAGAGGGGCTCAGCCCCACTGTTTGCTGTTATTGATTGTGCAGAGGATGATGGGCAGTTATTGGTTGTGCCCTTGTTGTTGCCATGGTGGGGCAACAGCAACCCCCTCCTGCCACTGGCCCCACAGCCCTTTCCTGGGGGAAAAGCCCATGGGAATGGACTGTCCCCAGGCCCTCCCCCAGCACCCCGGGCTGGCTGGATCCTGTCCTGGAGCCTTCCCCGGGGCTGGGGCTGGCAGTGGGTGTCAGAGAGGCTCTGCCCTCTCGTTCCCCCCATCCCTCCCCCCTCGCCCGGGGAGCATCTCCGTGTGTAATTCCTGCAGCTCCACTCCCTCCTCCCTCCCCTCTCTGCCTCTCAAGGTCACCTTCCTCGCCTGGGCTGGATTTTCACATATTGATTGCTTGGCTCTCGCAGTGTCGGCTCCGAGAGCTCCCGAGCTCACGCCAGCTCAGCATCTTGCCGCTCTCTGGGAGAAGCTTCTCCATATGGGCCCCCCTCCTCCTCCATCCTGCCCTCCCCCGCCCCACTCTCCTCCCAGCCCCAGCCCTGCATCCTGAACCAGCACCAGAGCACAGACAGGGAAGCCTCCGAGCCTGGAGAGCAGGATCCTTCTCCCTCCCCTGGCTCTGTCTCCTGGGGAGCGTGACATGAGCACACTCCTTCCCTCGGGCTGATTTAGGAGCTGGGACAGCATGTGACATCCTTGTGGGACTCTGTGGCTGTTTATGAGCTGCCTTCATCCTCTTCTGTCCTCTTCCTCCCACAGGTTCTCATCCCCCAGGGAGTAAGGAGCTCCCACTCCCTGCTCCCCACCCAAATTTCTTCTCTGTTTTCCTCCCACCTGCGTGACCAGGAGCAACCTGGTGTCCCTTGGCCACCACGTGGGGACAGAGCCATCCTCTCCTGTCCCTTTGCAGCTTCTCAGCCAGGGCAGCCCAGGGTTGGGAGGTCTGAGTCAGGAGCAGAGCAGTGCTGGCCGGGTCAGGGATGTGGAACAGGAATCACAGCAGCAGGAGGAGGAGGAGGATGGAGGCTTTTAGCCTTCCTGGGCCCCAGGCAAGCTGGGAAGAGGCCACATGGATAACACAGGTCTCTGTCTGGGACAGTGGCTGTGTTTGCCTCGGGCAGGCAACCGGTGGGTTTATCAGCCAAGTGCCAGATCAATGGCAGGCTGGAAAAGGGCCACTGCAGTGGGGATGCTGACAAGCTCCTGGCCTCCTCCAGGCCAGAAATCACCCTTAAACGCTGCTGGGGAGGAAATGCTGTGGCCCAGCTCGCCGAGGGAGCGAGGCAGGGATGATAACAGCGTTATTTATAGCCCTTCCCTGGCTCTTGGCTCGAGGCACTGGTTTGTGCTCCGCGTGCGATCGCTCGGGGCGGCTGTTTGTGCTGCTCCAGGCTGGACCAGAGCCCTCAGCCACCTCCCACCACCCTGCACCAGGGCTGGCTCCCATGTGTCCCACTCCCTGCCCCCATGCCAGGCAGCTGGACTGGCACCAGGCTCCCCCAGGCTGAGCAGAAACTCTTTTTCCTGCCTATATTCCTGAAGCGTCGCATCCAAAGGGTGCCCTGGGCCTGAGGGGTCCCCCGTCCCCGGCACTGCTGGAGTCAGGAACAGTGACCACCCCGGGAGGGCCGTGGTGCTGCTCCAATTCCAGCTCTCTCCCTTTTTTTTCTGAAGGATCCCAGTGCTGGGATTCATTAGGTGGGAGCTGCGAGGGCTCTGGAGATGAAAGCGCCGCCCATGAATTATCTCCGGGGTGCAGACAGTTCCCTGGGTCCCTCCAGGGAAACTCAACAATGGAAATATGGGGGGGGGAAACTGCTTGGGCTTTTCTTCTCCCCATTTTCCACTTCACCACTGGAAAAAAAAAGGAGGAGGAAAAAAAAAAATGCAGCAAAAAATGAAGAAAACACATTCTTTGCCTTTTCACATCTCCCCTCCCCCCCCCCAAATTGTGAATGTTTAGTGTAAAAATAATCCGTGGAAATTCAGATTTCTCCAGATCAGCCCCCTCCCTGCAGCACCCCCTGGGGTCTCCAAAGGGCTGGGGGCTCTCCTGGCTCTCCCCCACCCTGCTCCAGAGTGGGGCCCCGTGCCCTGAGCGGCTCCAGGGTGGGAGATGTGACCAAGACACTGCTATTATTGGCAGCGCCGCGTTAGGGCTTGTCAACAGGAGCCCTGACGCCTGGGAAAGGCTCCGTGTCGGGAGCACGTGTCCCTGGGGAGGGGGGCTCGGCTTAACCCAGATCCTGCAGAGGGAACAGCTCCGGGGGGCCTGGCCTGGGGGGAGGGAGCAGGGAGATGGGGGGGATGGAGCCGAGGAGGGGGAATCTCTGCTGGAAGTGCCTCTCCCAGGGAGATGGGCTGGGCTGCAGGATGCCCGTGGAGTGGGAGCTGATGTCCCCGTTGCAGCCAGGAGTGAGCGTCACCTCCTTGGGGGGGGTGAAAGATGGGTGTCTGTCTCCCCAAAATGAGGGGATTCTCCCCCTGATGGTGATCCCAGATCCTGGATCCTGCCCCTGAGCATCCTGACCTGTTGCTGCACAGGGCAGAGTCTCTCCAGCATCGTTCCCAAGGTGATTCTGTTCCTGCACCGTCTCCCTCGGCTGAGTGTGCCAAGAGTCTGACCAGGGAGAAATGATGAAAGGGAGGAAAATTCCAATAAGTGGCTTTTCCATGCTGCAATCCAGGCTTCTCCAGAACTGCTGGGACAAGGACCAGCGTCCTGCTGGGCACGAGGGTCTCCCCCACTGGGAATTCATTCCCCAGCTCAGGGTTTCTCCATTCCTGGCTTTAGATTTATTTTTTTTTTTAAATTGGCCTGAAGCCAAGCTCTTCCAAGAGTGATTTGGGGTGGCCACGCGTTGGCTTGGGGGTGCTGCTCCCCTCGGGAGGGGTTTGGGGAGGCAGCAGCCGTGTGTTGGTGAGCTGTGGAGCCCAACGGGAGGAGGGGAGCCCAGCCCGGCTCTGATTGATCGGCGCCTTTTAAAATAACCACCCGGAGCCCGGAGCTTCCATTTCTGTAGGATGTGGAAAAACCTGGAGTGGGGGAAGAGAGAAACAGCTTTGAGCGAGCGAGTGCAAGTATTGCTAATTTATGATCAGCG